GTGGCTAAGAGCGGTGCTCTGGGCGGCTATTGGACGGACTACCCCCAGAGCCTCATCTGTACCTGATTTGGAAGACAGATGGTAAGATCTGGGACCTTTAGGCTGATGCTGTAGTAGGATGAGACCTTTGGGGACCTCGAAATGGGATCAATGTATTTTGCACTGGGGAAAGATACGAATCTTTGGGGGCCAAAGCATACACTGTGGTCTCCCAGGTACGTCCACATCTCAATCCCCAGGGCCAGAGAATGTGTTACACCATGTGGCAGAGGGACCTTGCAGATGTAATTAAAGTTCCAAAGTTTAAAATAGGCAGATTGGATTATCTGGGTGGGTCCAGTCTAATCACACGAATGTTAAAAGCAGAACAATTTCTCTAGTTTTAGTTTTGGAGGCAGAGAACTGTGGCATAAGAGAAAAAGAGATTCCAAGACCTGAAAGGATTCAATAGTCCATTGCTGATACCAAATGTGGAGAGGGGCGGGGATTTCAGTTCCAGAAGCACAAATTCTCCCAGAATTCTCCCAGTTACCTGACTGAGTTGAAGCTTCCCCACATCCCGGGCAGCTGGTGGTTGAGGTTGGCCTTTGGAGATTCTAAGCAGAGAATCCAGCTGAGACATGTAATATCCTGATTTCGGACTTATGAAAATCAGGAGATAATAAGTTTCATTATTTTACCCTGTTTAAAAAAAGCAAAACAGGTGAAATAAGAAGTTTTTGTACCATTCTTTCAGACCAGATTGAATCCATGGAATACTCTTCAACAGATGATCTAGCTTGTCATTAGGTTTTTTTTTTTTTTTTGCTGTTTTTTGTTGTTGAAAAATAAGTCTATAATTTAGTTTTCTCCTTCTCTGGAAACCTATTCTGACCCACAGAGAAAAAAAATCACCTACAATTTGGACACTGTTTCTGAATGTCTTGATGTTAAGCCAACAGTCATTGCTGAGAAGCCACTTTTCACTGTTTTTTTCCAGATATCACTATTTGCCACTTAAGTTTAGATAATTTCAAATGGTTTGGAGTATTAATAGACTGCTTTAATTTTTCCCGATTATGTTTAAACTCTCTTGCTTTCTCTGTTCTGTGTGTACTAGTCCGCTCAGGCTACTGTAAGTAGCCGACTGTAAGATACCATGGCCTGGGAGGCTTAGCCAGCAGAGGTTTATTCTCACAGTTCAGGAGTCCAAAATCAGACTGTTGCCGATGGTGTTCCCGGTGAGAGCCCTCTCCCCGTCCTGCAGACAGCTGGCTTCCCTCTTGTGGTGTCTTGTGTGCTTCCTTTTTGTTCAATTACTTTCTCCTCCCACATGCCATTTATGACTGCTACATCATGGATGCTCCTTTGACTCATTTCTATGTCATCCTGACTCGAAGCCTCGAGATTCATGATTAGAAATACCTTCTACAACATTCCAAATATTTAAATATATTTTAGAAGCTACATAAAGTAAATAATATTTTGAATTTTTTCCAGTAAAAACTGTCAACATATTCTTAGAATGAATGTAATTAAACTTTCATTTATCCATATAACTGATGGTGTTATTCACATTTCTACACTTTATGAAGCACCTGGCCTAGCACTTAGCATATAGTTTTTGAATTAAAAAAAATAGGTCTATACTTCTGTTCTCTTTGAATAGCAGGTGAGAGATTTCTAGTCACCACAGCTATTTCTCCACTTTTCCTTGGCTAATGGGTGAACGTGTATCTAAGGAGTGGTTTCAATGGGTTCATCGAGTACTACTCTAAAGGTAGGCTCTGTGTTATGATTGAGAGTTACCATTAGTGGTGTTGCCACACCATGAAGCTGCCGGAAACACTGTGCAGGGGCTTCTGCCCATGACTTCCTGTGGAGCATTGTCAGTAAATGTTTGCTGCCATGATAGTCCAGGTCAAACTCCCCAAAGTGAGATTCAGTTATCCCTAAATCTCATTTAAATGACCTCTCCAGGTCTTAGAAAAATAGCAGAGAAAACAACAATGAAGACACCTGAAGATGGAAGTTGAGGCTAGCCAAAATCACAGACATCCTGCGGGTTACCATCATCAGAGAACTCTTTTTTGCTGTTTCATATCTGGATAACACATTTTAGAAAGAAATTTCTGGCTGCTGGCCCGAGCAACGTGGTGTGGCAAGCAGAAACCCAGCTGCTGCAAGGTAATAAGACAGGCCTTTTCCTGCTTACGAAAGTTGACTTACGAATTTCTGAGGAAAGATAACCAAGTTGTTTCCTAAATTCTCAAAAACAAAGTGCCGAGCTAGCATTCTGTGTTTACATTTAGGCTTGACATGTCATGAAACTTGAATCCAACCAGCAAAAACTTAGAAAACATTCCTCAGAAGGCACAGAAAGGTTTAGCAAATGTTTATTTATCATCTAAGTTGGACTAAATAGAAATTGTACATAATGGGACAGAAAAAAATGACGCAGTGCAGGGTGGCAGATCCAGGTGAGAACCAGTGAGACACATCATCGATGGTCTTTGCCGCTTGCCACCAGACGATGTCTCTTGGCTGACGGTCAGTGAGGAGGAGTCGTCTGGCACATGCTCTGTGGACACGGGCAAGTGCACAGGGAAGAACGCCACCCAGACAAGAACACTTCAATATCGTACTCTAGCTTGTAACAAACAGAACACATTCAATTTACAATGAGAGCCAAAAGACAATGCTGTCTTCCCAGAAAAATAAAATAAACATGCCAGCTTAAATAACACATTGCAATCAAAAGAGTGTTTGTGGGAATCTAGTATTTATATCTGATTCAATGCAACAGTGTTGTCCTTAAAAATGAGCAAGCGCTGCTTTAGAAAAAGTAACTTGAGGTGATACCCCCGACTTCCTACCGCTCTCATAACCGCGGCACTTCCCTTTCGGATCTCAAGTATCTACACGACGCCCAGTGATTTTCTTTATCTTTCAGGCTAAACACAATCCATTTTTAAGGACCACAGCTGCTCTGTTTCATGCTTAACATCAACACTCAAAATGATTTATTGTATTTTACAAACTTTACAAATGTTTATAATCACTATTAAGATTTACAAAACCCTACACCCTATAGCAAAGAGTAAACACAATAAAAACATCATTAAGTATGTAACTACTTTTGGGAAGGAAACCACTCTAAAATATATATGGAATTGTCACTTAATAAATAGGCAATGACTTTCTGTTCCCTTTTTCCCCTAGAGCCCTTATTAGTTGTTTAACTCTATTTTTAATCCCTGTTTCCCCAAATTGGTAGGTGTGTGCTGAGCTATTCAGTAATAAGCATCAAAAGAAAAATTAGTAATGTAGGATGTTAGGCATGGAAATGTCATGACAAAATATTCCTTCACGTTGTAATCCTTGCTAACGGACTTGCATTGCCAGCTCTACCGGTGATGGAACACTGATCGGGGAGGTGTACGTTTTGATGTTAGTGCCATTCCATCCACAGGTCCTCTCTCTTAACGGGGAACAGTAATGCAGTCCAGCTCTGATGAAGCAGGAGCCTGACCCTGCATGGAGGTGCCCCTTTGAAACTCGGGCAGGTGGTTGTGGTATTTTAAAGGTTTGTCTCCCTCTCTCCTTCACCGAGTTTATATTTGGGGAAAGTGGGGTGGGTTCTGGGCAAACTCTGAATTCTTGAGGGTGTTGCAAGTGGTTAAGAGTGTGCTTTCCCCAAGTTCAAGAAACAGGGGATAAATCTTATCAATTCATCTGTGGTTTTCCAAGTAGGCATTTCTCAAACAAGATTCTGAATTTGAATTTGAACTCCAGAAAGAAAAAAGACTAGAAATACGTTTTTGTTGTACCTCTTAGATTCTTAGGGACAGAGCAACATAGGCTGTTGGTTTGTCTTTGGAGAGGGCAATGAGTTTCTCTTAGAGCATGTCACGACATGTGTGTGCCCACCGTGCACCTGCATGCACGCGGAGGAAAGGGAGTGGGCGGGTGAGGAGAGAAAAAATGGAAAAAACCGAAAAGCACGTGTATGTATACACACACATGGATGGAACTTGGTGCTCTCACTAAACTGTGGACTTGACACCTCTTCAAACATGTTTTGGGGTTGTATTTATTTTTCTAGAATTAAGTTGAGCATCTTACTTAAAATGTTGTTTTCTGGTAAATTCACTTTAGTCCAACAGTGTGTAGGTTCATTCAGTAAAGACCGGTCATGGAAAGCTGTTTTCCTCCATTTTATTTCTTCAGGTACCAAATACTTTAATTCACAAGTGACGTTACTGTTGCCATTATTATTAACTGCTTGCATATGTTGAGATCAAAATGCTAACTACTTATGTCATATCTGCATTACTTTTTAAAAAATCTCAAATACAGGGAAAAGTCTAATTTCCCTTATCTTGTGTTCATGGAAAATATTTTCGATAAATTATTGAAAATCACTGACTTATCTGTTCACTTTGAAAAGTGTTTCAGACTTAAACTTTGCTAAGGGTCCTGTAATCTGTGTCTATAGTTCTATTCTTCCACATTAGGTAGCTTTTACTGAAATGCAGCCCTTTTTAAAAATCTGTGACTTCCAATACATTCTGTTTCCAGTTACTATTGGTGGACAGCAATGACCTCCTGTGGATTCCTCTGCAAATAGCAACTGGGTTTTCAGAGAGTGTTAATTTTCAATATATGTGTATCCTTGAGACCTGTGCAGCTTACTGAATGAACTTAAACTGTCTTAAAACATTTGTTAATTTTAGAATAAAATGAAAAATCATTAAAAGATTATGAATACTTTAACTTTCTTATATAGCTTCAAAGCTAATGTTGAAAACTAAAATGAATATTATTTAAAATTAACATTTAAATATTCATATCTGTTTCTTGGGGGGTGTAAGTCACTTGCTCTTAATTTTTATGTAAATGACTAATGTCAAAAATTATATTTTAGAAAGGTAATTGTTAAGTAAAATAGGAGAAAAAAAACTTCAGAAAATAAATGTTTTCAAAAATAAAACTTCTTGATACTCTTTATAAGAGAAAATGAAAAGTACTCTGAACAATTTGGTAGTTAAGTGAACTCAGGAAATAATTACCCACTTTTTAATATAAAATAGAGGAAAATTTAATATCTGAGGGCAAAATGATTTAATATATTTTCAGAAATAAAATAGCATTTTTTGGAATCTATTTTATATTTCAGGGAAGATTGTTTAGAAGGCATAAAATTTAAGTTTTTATAGAGCTTCAGTGCTGTAATATCATTTTGGACTAATGAGGTAATAAGTTATTCATAAATATCTTAAAGCATGAGATAAGCATTCATACAGTTTGATTTTAGCTAGATTTTCCTGAAAACGGATTAGATGTACTTACTGAGACACTGCTTTCAATTCTTTACTAGACAAACTGTAAAAAAAGAGAGAGAGAGAGACTATACTTTTCTACCACAAGAGGGCAGCAGGTTGTTTTCAATGAGAATTCTGACTAACTCCATCTGTTGACATCCTTTCCGATCTTTCTGAGAAGTTACCTTCAGTTCATTCTTCTACTTCACTTCATTCTGGAGTAAAATTGAAAGGATGTGTTTTCATCATGAAACAGAACTACTGGAAATGTGGTTTAATGAATGTTTTGCAAAGGGCACAAATTTCAAGATGACCATAGTTTTTCTTTCATGGTTTACAATAATTACAGTACCCCCGCTCCATCAAACTCATGGCTCCGCCAACACTAATACAATAATCCTTACAAAGTACAGACAGTTCGCACGAGAATGTTGAAGTACGTGATGTTATGTATGTTCTACATGGTGGTGCAAAGGCAAAATTTAAAAAGACTAAAACTATTATTTTTATTTTTTCCATCATTATTAAAATCTCTAGTTTTCTGCCAATATTCTCATTATCTTAAGCCTTGCAAGGGTAAAGTAATAACTGCCATGAAAAAGCAGTCACGTGCTCAAAACTGCAGCTATAGTTACTTTTTGATAAATATAACGTGAAACTATTGAACCAAGTACCTAAAAAATATTAGTCAATTTTATGTGACGTTTAACCGAATGAGCACATAGAATAATTTATCATAACCTTTACAGTCATTTCTGTATTACAGAAATCTCTTTAATGCAAAGAAGCTGGATGGTTTCTTACTCTTCTTTCTTCCATTTTTAGGTCCCAAATATAAACTCTCCAGAAGCCCATCGAGGGTTGCACCCCATCAGGAGTCCAGCACGTGCCTAGGCAGGCGGTAGTGCTCTGCTCTGGGGCGGAGCTTCTTCTCCTGTGGGTTGGCGTACTTCCACTTGGAAGGTGACATTTTGTGCTTTTTCCTCTTCTTATCCGTGCACCATACTTTTTCACAGTATTCTTCCACTCTCTGGAAGTTGTTATAACCAATCAGCTGCAAGAATTCCTTGTACCACGGCTTTGTCCCCTGCGGGATACTGCTCTGAGCAGGACAAGGCATCTTGTGTGGCCTGCCCTCTTCATAGTCTTTGTTAAACATTTCCTCCACCCTCTCCTCTTCCACGACCTCCAGGGTGATTTTACGGACAGTGTGGACAAAACTGTGCTCCACTGTCTGGCAAACGTAGGTACCAGAATCCACTTTGCGCACCCTTAGGAAGAGTAAACCGAGGTCCATCTTAATCACTCTGTCATCTGTCTTCACCTGCAATAACAACAAAAAAAAAATTAGTGGCACCGGACTACTATCCAGAAGACTATATAGATGAGAGAGGAGGGGGGCTAAGTGATTAAATCGACTCTATCTCTGCCTTAAACTTAATTACAGTTGGGGTCACTTTGCAGCAATGACTCTGAGGTCATTTTAGGTCAATATTTTTTAAGGGCAACATGAGAGAGCTTTCTCTCTAGTGACTTTAATTAATCATTAGAGAGGGGAAAAAAACCCATCCAGTTCTATACAGCACTCAAAAAGTTACAGTGAAATGACAATTTGTGAAATTTATTCAATTTTTTTTAATGGACAGAACAGATTCCATTTCTCAAATTATTAGTTCAGGGGCTCTTATGCCTTCCCGGTGATCACAACCAACGTCTTGCTCAGCGAGGACCTCTGTTCAGAGAGCTGAGCGAGCCCCACCCTCTCTCCTTAAAAAGAAACCCATGTGTCACTTCATTCTGTAAGCATTCTTTACACCTCTACAAGGCTGTCCAGTTAACAGAGGTTAAAAAAGAACAAGTAAAATCCAGAAATCCAGATTCTGTTCTGAAAGGCCCTCACAGTCTATCAAATACTAAGTTATCATACACTTATGGGGCATTTATGTATACTTCTGCCTTAGTTTTACTCGTGAAAGGGAAGATAATGATGCTAACGTAACTTGAAGAATTCTGTGAAGTTTAAGTAACTCAGGTGAGACTATTTTGCATAGTACTATCAATGCGTATCTCTCTACCTTCCCTTGTATACATTCCTTGACCAAACACAAACTGATGTATGTTCTCCTGCAGCCCAGGATTCCATCACGATGGTACAGAGGTGACTTACATCACACTGGCTGACTCCCCCTTTGAGAACTTGAAACAAAAGCAACAACCCCCTTTGCCAATGTAAAAGCAGCATAGCAGCAACAAGCACACCCACGCTGGCAGGGAGGCATTACAGCCAGCACTGTTTGTACTGTGGTAGGTTCTGGCCCGGCCTCCCAGGCTCAGCTCTTGCAAACCTTGGGCAGTTTGAGCATGTCCAAAATTGCATTGTGATCACTCATATGTGGTTACTCATGTGTGGTCATTTATTATGATTGGTGATCATGTGCTAAAATGGCATTAGTGCTATAGTAAGAGATTATACCTCAAATAGAAAGCTCCCTGAGGTATTTTTTCAGCTATGTAAGGTAAACTAATTATTCAGAAGTTTCAGAGTGACAGAGTTGGATGACGAGAGGAGCGCCATGTGTCCTGCACAGGTGCCTTCCTTGATTTGGAGGGGCCACACCCTGGCAGACAAAATGCTACAGCCATTCACTCAAGAAGTTCTCCAGCGAGGAACCAGAAAGAGCCCTCAAACCAAAACCATCTTCGCTACATGGAAACACTGTATTCATTCATAGGTTTTGCTGAGAATGTATCCCGAGCACTGGCCACAGACAATAAATAACTTAAAGACTTTGTGTTCCGCTGCTCATTTGAAGCAGGCCTCTTGCCCATGTTCTCTTCAGCACTAACCTCTCTGTAAATTTACCCTCTCTCACATCATGCCACTCATGATACTGATCTGGAGGACAGCCTCCATCGTTTTAAAACTTGTGGCACCATTTGACATGAATGGACTGGCCTACTTAAATGTGTGTGTGTGTGTGTGTGTGTGTGTGTGTGTGTGGTACATGCCATTATACTGTCCTGGGTCTTTCCTTTGTGGCTTCTGTAGATTTCTCATTTCCTCTATGGGACAATCCTCTGTCCTTCTCTGAACTCGTTTTATTTGCATCCATATCATAACTCTTGTATTTCCTCATTTCAATGGGCGTCTTTAAGACAGTGCACCTTACACATAGATAATCCATTGTTCTCTGTTCCCTATAAATGACAAAACCGGGATGGAGACCTACATGATACTTCATTACCTACAATTCAGTGTCTTTCCACTCAAACTTCCCCCCTATTTACTCCCCTATTTCTGACAATTGCATCATCATTCTTCTAGTCACTCTATCCTCAACTGTTGATCATATATGCGTCTCTCTTCTTAGTGTCCTCGTATCCAAAACGTCCCAAATTGCCATCAACATTTCTTCAGTGAGGAGCATCAGAAGCATCCATTCCATTCCACGATTTTTGCCAATGCTAGACTCTTATGCTTCGTGACCGATTCTTTGACCTTAACTCAGGGCAAACTCCCTTAAATCTTCCTTTTTTCTGTCCTGGCTTTCATGCCTGGCTGGATTCCATTCAGGACTTATGCTCTTGTCTTTGCCTAAAGAACTTCCCTGTCCCTGGTCCCTTCTCCCTCAGAAAGGCTGACCTAAATGTTATCACTTCAAAAAGGCCTCCCTCACAGCCAGTGAAAGTGTCCTCATTCTCTCATTCCCATCATTTCGCCTGTTAACCCTTACACCTGAACAAGCAACATATTTACAAACATGAAAGAGCCCTTAATTTTCTTTTTACTGATATCTTTCCCCTTCAACAAATGAGTACTGTTTTATTCTTCTCCAAAGTCTGCTTCCTTTTGTCATGCTCCTGACCGAGTAGTTATTCAGACTCTCTGTTGTTCATCAGAGCAAGTGACAATTGTTGATGAACCAGACCCTGCCTTTCTGAATCTATACCCCCAAGAGCTGAAGGTAGAGTATTTTAAACTAGAGTTGGTGAAATAGGTACATTCTGAGATCAATGAGTTTTCTATAAGGATTACTTATATTAGTTTGATTATTTCCACATTAATCAGTATACTATTTTTACGGGGCCCTGGCTGTGTACCATGATCCGGCCACCAGACATCGTTCATTCCCAGTCGCACATGTCTGGGTGCAGACTATTCCCTCAGCCACCCCAGGGGCGAGAAAAACGATATTCTCTCCCTCTCTCCTTCCCTTCCCCTCTAAAGATAAATACAACAAAATACTTCTTTATGTGTGCTCTCAGACTTTCCCCCTTCCTTAAAAAAAATTACATTTGGGATCATGGGGAAGATCAGCCTCATTGTCAGTATTTGTGTTTATCATGGGTCTGAGCCATTTTCACGGCTTTGATAGTTTCCAGCTGCTAAGAACAAAGGTGGGCTTAATATGTTAATGAAATGAAAGCCAAATGAAAACGCAGCCAAATGAAAGCCAAGCAGCACCCTTACGTAGTCATGTACAGAAACAGTTTTGAAGCCACTTGAATGGAGTGTTAAGGGGATGGAGTCATCCCATGGCACACAGTGATACAGACAGATGTATTACACACACATACACACACGTGGTGGTGTGCGCCCCATATTCCACTCACAGAGATGCCATATGTCAATGAAAAACCGTTACATTACATAAACATTTAAGTGATGTACAGATCTGCTTATATTGGAAAATTTATTTATTTTTTATATTTTATTAAGTTACAAGCATAGAGGATGTGTTTCTTGTGTGATCCTTGTGAACATTTAGTAAGCTCTGTAATAGAGGTCATGCTACCAGCCCAAGAACAATGATTTAATTTTAAGGGCAAGTGGTGGGCTTAAGCTTTCATGTCTTAAATGAACGCTTTTTTTATAGCCCCATATATACGTTTTGTTTCTTTTTTTTTAATACTTTTTAAAAAATATTTTATTTATTTATCTTTAGAGGGGAAGGGAAGGAGAGAGGGAGAGAAACATCAATGTATGGTTGCCTTTCGTGCGTCCCCTACTGGGAACTGGCCTGCAGGGAACTGGTCTGCAACCCAGGCATGTGCCCTGACTGGGAATCAAACCTCGATTGTCTGGTTTGCAGGCCCGCACTCAATTCACTGAGCTACACCAGCCAGGGCCGTTTTGTTTCTTTTTGTAACTCAGTAGCACTCATATTTGTAGTACAGAAGCAGACATTTATATTCCCTTTCAAATAATTTTTCCTGCAAGTTTCATCTCTTTAATATACGGGGGGGGGGGCAAAGTAGGTTTACTGTTGTTTTTGTAGAAAATAATACAATAATTAATAACTAATAATTCAGGAATAAACTGTTTCACATACAACTTGTAAACTCATTTTTGCCACACCCTGCATTATAAGTTTCATAAATGTCTAGCTCTGAATTGTTATGAATATTCCATGATGAGCAGAGTGCTCAGAACATAGTGAACGTAAAAACCTATTAATCTGTTCAGAGCATACAAGTGGGCAAGAAAACAAGGTACACCAATGATATAGCCAAGTTCTTCACTGGTTTTGTGTAAATCCAATAATGATTTGGATAGGCGCAATTTCAGGAGCAGCTAGCAACCAATGTCAGAGGGCCGCGCATGCTTCAAGGCATACAGGACAAACGGCCCCAGGAAACTGCGCCTGAAAAGAGTGTGCACTCAACTATTCTCACTGAATGCGGTTCCTTGTTCTCTCTCCACTGCATCTCCTGTGAGAGCGACTAACCTGTTGAGAATATATAAAAGTCATCTAGCCTGGTTTCTGGCACATAGCAAGCAGTTTATGACATTTTAAAAAATAAAGCAAAAAGCAAAAATGGAAATAAATACAAATCACTGATCTCCAGATTAGGAGTGTTCTTTTCTTTTTTTTATTGGGCATACAAAGAAGGCATCCCCTTCATCTGAAACCCGTGAGAAAAACATGGCATTGTGTGTATTCACGAAGTCCAGACTCAGCCAAAGATGTGGAAGCACGATGCATGTGGTGGGCAGGGACTGTTCCACCTCATCTGTGTGCATGTCAGAGACTCGGCCTGTCTCAGAATTCAGGTCTCTCTTCCTGGTTACAGTGAATTACAAATTCAAGAATAAAAGATATTTTAACTCTCAGATCTGGATGGCTGTACACGATGGAGGTTAAATCCCCTTGAAAGTTAAATTTATCTTCCATGGCCTAGGGATCCTTAAAAATAATGAATGACTTAGAAATTCGTATTTGAAGTCCTCCCACAATTTAACCTTTCCCCTGTAGTGAACATGGGCAATGTCCATATCACATCTTGGTTACAGAAGTGTTTTTATCCAGCTGTTGTTTTTCT